GTAAAATTGTCACACGCAGTATCAACCGAGTCACTTACAGAAAACAAAACAGTCCAGTCATATTCGTCAATAAGGTCATTTAGCATGTCAAAGTCGGCTCGTTTTTATAGCCAAACTTTCCGTTGGTAAGAGGTTTGGTAAAATAGGTAAATTCAATAACTACAATACAACCTTCATGATCACTTACTGCTCTATCAATAGGTAATACTGAAGTATTTATTTGTTATCACCTATATTTTCTTTTCGTTGTCTTAAACGTGTTGCATAGGCACTCAGAATTTGATTGACTCATGTAACGGGCATTTTTGTTTGTTTTAGTATTATTGTTAGAAAATTACTCTGTTTTTTGTGTTTTGTTCATCAGTATTAGACATTGTTATTATTGTTTATGTGTTTTATTTCTAATAAACCATTGCTGCATCAAATCAAATGTATTTTGTTTCATTTTGTTCCATTGAAAAACAGAATCGAAAACAAAATCGAAATTTTATGATATCCCAAAACATCTGAAGAAACTACCGCAGGGCATGGGTCATTGTTCAGAAATGATTTGGTTATGCAATAGCGATGCGCGTAGAAAAAACCCAATGCCTCATTACATTTTTAGGCGGAGGGACGGGGATCCTAAGTCAAAGAGGTCCCATTTGTCATAAAACAAATCTGAAACTAACTATTTAAGATTTAAGCTTCATATACCCATACCTTTTTGCATTGACCTTGCTTAGACACTCCAAGCATGGCTGACGTTATGTTAAATATTCTGCTGATATAAAGAATATGTTCTTCGTGGGATATAAATACATGTACCAACTTATATTCATAAATGTGATTTGCAGTTTCTTTGTTACATGTCCTGTTCTCCCTTGAAGAAAATGACAGAACTTGACATAGATTTACATGATAGTCGTGGTACGATTTACAATACAAGGCTACACTTAAGGTTTGAAATTCTTTTTTTAACATTTATGAGGGTATGCAACACAGTTCCGTTCAAAAATATTCCATGCTGCGCGTAAGCCTTTCTCGGAGAATATGTTTGAACGGAACTATGTTTCATTCCCTCATAAATGTTAAAAAGATGCATTTCAAATCCTACATTTACGGTCTTTTACATCCACTTTCATTATTTGAAATTAAGAGAAAGTATTTCTCTATACGCTGTCAGAAAACCATCATTAATTGAACAGCCTTTTTCACGGGAAAGATAATGCGTTGTCAATGGTGACGAAAAACACAGTTGAACAATAAACAAATAGTTCCTCTTTGCACATTTTAAATAATTCAATTTACATACAAGCAGGATAAAAGGCATTGATTATCTTTGAATTTGACAATATATCTTAATTTGAAGCAAAAATAACCTGTAATATATTCAATTAGTTGTTACATGTATACATATATTACGAAGCGACGTGTCAACAAAACATAACATTCCTTCATATTCAAATCAACATCATAAACGCAAATTATCATCACAATCACAACCACTACACACGCGAGTCCGTATGTATTAATATTCCTCTGAAATTGCTGTTGATTGTCTGTTTATTATACATTCACGAATGTCATCTAAATACTTTATATCAAATATATTATAATCTAAGGATCCAAATAGAGTCATCATCAATATCAAATTTTATCATATTTACTGTGTAATTTGTTAAACCTAATTTCTGATTATCTGACACGCAGTAAATCTATCAAACCGTAATCGTTTTGTTTGTTTTTGTTTTTGGTAATAATTCACTATCAAAATAGTCAAAGTTAACTTGTGAGTTTGTCGGTATCAGAGAAACGACATGAGTTATGTCAAATTAGAAAGGATCTGCACAGAAAACAAACAGCCATAGTGAAACGTCTAAGAATGTATTTAGAAATTTTGCTAGAGATCTTACCCTATCGCGTATATGTGCACATTTAATCGAACAACGGGGCGATCGATTGTAAATCGCACAGTTGTGCGCATTATTTGCGGATTATGGGTGCACAGTGTGAATATGATGTATGCACGATGTGCAAACGACAATTTTGGTGCGTTATGCGATCGTATCATTGTATTAGGATATACAAATTAAAAGTCGACGTTAAAACTCGCAAAATTGCTGTACCCTACATAATAATTAATTATTTGAACATCGTTAAGTTGGATCTAAAGGAATTATGTTTTAATCGAGTTGATTTCATTTGTATTATTAGAAAGACTGTGTGGATCAAACTGAACTGTCCGATTTTGTACGTTTTCTGCGAGAACCCAAGTGCCCTCCCACCTTAATACCTCTGCGCGCGTCCATAAGGCGTACAAAGTGAATATTACAAGGTAGCAATTTGTTGTTAAATAAAATGTTTATAGATTATTTTATATAAGTGTTTATGTAACTCGTGATTCACTCTTGCCCATCTGTAATATCATTAAACATAATTCCTTATTTCGTTTTTCCCCTTTAGTGCATTGAGGTTGAGTTTGTGTGCACAATGCCCACTTTGACCAATCTAAGAGAAATGCTAATATAAACACGTTCTCTAAGGAGACTCTATCAAACCATGCACAAGCAGGTACATGTACATACAGTAATCTGTGTTTGTAGTTATTTGAACCTTACATTTAGAAACCCTGTTCTATTCTAAGGATTTATCCCATTACCAACAGCATGCGATTGAAATTGATAGAAAAATTGTCAGAAATTTTCGACGATCTTACGTCAAAAGCTGATAATCAGGATGATAAAAATCCGTGCTGGATCCTTTCTCCTTTTTGTGCGATACAAACGAAAAATTCACATCGAAACTGTTCACCTTTTTAAATAAAACTAGAAAAAGGCACGTTTGAATATCCAATACACTGACAGAAAAGAGCATCGACAGCTAATACTGAACATGTCAACGTTACACTGTAGCATATTCATGTAGCGTATACACCTTTAAAAGGTGATTCTGAATATAATTTTGTTATAATAAATGTGGAATTTAGACAGTTCTGAAAATTCTATCTCTAATTGTATATGTAGGTATGCCATGATCTGTATGTTTGTGTTCGAAATAAATAAATATCCTTAAAGAGTACTTATATTTAGATGTAAAACATAGATGCGGTTAAGTGGGATATACGCATTCATATTGAAAAGCCATTGGTCCACAGCAATTACTTAAACATGTTAATAAGCAGAAAGAAAACTGTTCTAAATGAGCTTCAGTCGCTAATTATTATCATGTGAGGGAGCCATACCTCCGTCCTGATGTCAGTTATAAAACTGTCTCATTTTTTTTATTCGTAAGATAAAAAGTATGAATGATGAAGTTTTACTTTTTTATTTACTTTCATGCAGGACTTTAATCAATTCAGCTATTAAAATATTTTCCTTGTTTTTTATCTTTGATATCAAATTAGAAAACCTCTAAATCAATCAGTCCTTTTGATACATTGTCCCGTTATCCCTACATTTCATTTTGAAGAGGACCAGTGGTATACCTGGATAGGGGTAACACTATACTAACGCTGGAATGGCTTCCATCTATACTGTAAGATACGCGGGACGATTTCGCTTTTCCAATTATGAACTCCATCTTAATTATCGCGCCTGTTTCACAAAGATTCATTTTTTTTGCTTTGAATATCATTTTCGTAATGACGTCAACTGCTGACCGACAGGTTCTACATCAGGGTTTCCAAAGTTGTTGAAGACAAGGTACAAATTGTACGGTCACCATCATGATTCCATTTGGAAATATGCTTTACTGATATGAATGACGATAGCTGTGTTATACTCATTACAGGGTTTACCGGTTTCATTACCACAGTTGCCTCTTTTGGGACATGACATTATTGACTTGACCCAGACGTTAAAGCAGAAGATGCTTACACTACAAGAACACCTTATCGCATTCTCTAATTTCTCCATATTTTATCGTTTTTGTTCCAATTTTAGTTTTTTAGTCATTTTTCCTCTGGTACAGTTGTGTGACCGTACAACGCACCAAAAATAGCGTGCGCACACCGCGCATACATCGTTCACACACCGTCCGCACATCGTCGACACATGGGTGCGCACAACTGTGCGATTTAACAATCGTTCGACCCGTTGGGTGCTTCTCTCCGCACAACTGTGCGATTTGGTATCAGTTGATATCAAAATTACGGAATGACAAAAATACGGAAGGCTTGTATGTGATAGTGTATCTGTAATTTCTCATAACAATAATCAAGATTATACAATTTCACAACGCGTGTTACACAGTATTACGGCGACCGTTAGGCAGTCAAGAATAGGTTTTGCTCTAAGCAAAGGTAACAGTACAGGTACAATTTGATGAGTTTCCGGAGTTTTACCTGACCAGTGTCTGACACACAGAGCTGATATGCGATATCGTATGACCGTAATGAATAGTATTTGTTATTTGCATTTGTTTGCCTATAGCTCCCCTTCACATGAATTTTCACACCCCCAGCCTTACCCGACGAGTTACGTAATGGCCCCAGGCGGGGGAAAATACGGTCCAGGTACATGTACAAAGTAGTTATGTTTACCTGTATACGGGATTGTGTTGTAATTGTACATGTGCCGATTAAGTTTGTTTAAAAACACCGAAAACACAATTTCTAAATATAAGAATGTATAGACAGAAAAACAAGTTTATAGATGCAGCTAGAATATAGAAACATACGTACAAATCAAGTTTATATGTATAAACACGAAACCGTATAATTGTTAAGGCATTCCTCAATTTAAATCAACCACGATTGTAATCGAACAACGTTCGTCCATCGTGCGCACACATGTGCGCAAGCAATGATCGTCTAGCTTTTTATCGTTCGCCCATCGTGCACACACCGTTCACACACCGTGCACACATCGTGCGCACACCGCACACCGTGTAACGTTGTGCGATCCCACAACTGTACATGTATATGTACTGGTTTCAACAATGCAATGGCGTTTGCTTGCTCAGAAGAATTCAAGTGAACTTGTTTACTTTATCAAAATATCACACAGACACTAGTTATAATGCAATAAGTTAGTAATGATTATTTTATTTTTCATTTTTTTGACAAAGTAAATGTTATCTATGGAGTTTAATATCCACTGTCGGGCGCAGCTTCGTAACCGCCACCTCCGCCAGTACTTCCATAATCGCCACCGGTTTGAGTTTCCCCATATCCTCCGGTATGTCCTCCACTAGTGCATATACATCCTCCGTGGTAGGCATCACCTGAGTAGTTGTCGTCACACTCACATTTGTTAGTCTTGTAGTTACAGTGAGAGTGTGGGTAGGCCGGGCAATGTCCACCACACGGATCTGGGTTAAATTCAAGTTAATGAAGATGGTTTTGATTATATATGTCTATATCTTTCAACAGCATAATACATTTACATTTTTTTTTAACTGAAATGTACCTGCGTTACAGAATCTATATTGTAATATGAATCATAATCCGTCGTTTCAATATTATATACAAGCGTAAGTGATTCATATTTCAAACACTAAGATAATTCTTTATATTGTATTTGAAATGTCTAATTTCTTGTATAGATAGATGTTAATAATTATTTTCTTGTAAGAAGATTTTTGTTTTGGTAAATATTCATTGAGTAAAATATGTTGTGCAATACAACTTCATATACATGTAACAAATAGTTTATAGTAGTAGATACATGATAAATAATCAAACATTTTATGTACTTATCTGTTGATTATGGGATAAATAAATAAAATAACACAAATATCAATCTTTTGTAATCAAGTACGAAAATACTCACGCTCACATACTCCATTCCACTTAACGAATCCTTTGAGACAAAGACATTTCTGTGATGGTTTGTCGCAGAAAGCATTAATTCCGCAAGGTCCTCCGCATGGTTCTATGCATTAAATATAATATATATTTTATTGCCGGTCTGAGTATATATTTCAAAACATACGATCAGATTTTACTCTTCAACCTCAAAAAATGCCCTTCTTAAAGGATTTTTTGTTGTTTTGTCGATAATGGTTACAGTAAGAATTGAGAACTTTTCTTTACAACAATCTGTACACACATTTAAAATACTCGAGAAAGTGATAGTTTTTTGTGTTATGTTAATTATATTACCCTATTAAATAATATTTAAGATTATTAAGCTGCTGCTCCATTCTATATTTTTACAATATTTAGAAGGAAAGTGTTTGACAGCATACCTAAATGTCATTCGTTTCACATAAACAAAACTACGATTGCATTACAAGTACCACATAACATATACAATGATATTGTGACTTAAATGAACATTTTCTAATCAAAGCAAAACATGTATAATGGCTATCTTATTAATTTTGTTTACCAAATGTATACACATTCCAACCAAAATCAATACAACATATACCATAATCATCTCATAACTTATCAATTTATAAGTAAATATTTGTTACATATCTTCATGACATACCATCATCATTCTCAATGGTGACCGTCGCTTTGTACTGAAGTCCAATTACTCCTCCCTGTGTCACTTCAGTAAGAGTGATCACAAACTGTTCGTCAGCCTCGTAAAACTAACAAAGAAAACAAATCACGTTATATAAAACTGGTTGATTTTTTAGGTCTTTGAAATGTTCTTGACAATTATTGCGTTCCTTCAACAAGCGTTACTTTGTAATTAACGTTTATTACACAATTTATGTCGTAACATGTTATTTTGATCAAATTATAAAGTTGTTGCCTATTTCATTCATTCATACGTTCGAATATGTTAATTGTAATTTGCTCACTTTGTCGTCAATAATGTGAATGGAAATATCCTTAGAGGTTTCCTTGTCTCCAAAGTAAAGAACTCCTCCGGTGTTGACGTAGTCGTGGCCACTTTCGGCGGTCAGATCCGTAGTTTTCCAGGTAACCTTCACTGATCCAGAACTAGAGCCAATCCTATTCACGTTTACAACTAGTACATTTACGCTTTCTTTTACAGCATAGCTTGACTGGGCGATAATAAACACGCTTGGCTCTGCAAATAATGAAATTGCAAAATCTTACTGCAATGTATTAACTGATAATCTCATGGTATTGGAAAAACAAACGTAATATATGATCAAAAGGAATATATCTAACTCAATGGACAAAAAAGTAATGGTTGATCACTTACTCGAACATCCGACCTTCCCATCACCAAAGAATCCCGGGAGGCAAACACACTGATGGGTAGTAGTGTCACATTTGGAGTTCTGCTTACACTGGCCGTGGCAAGGTACTGTTGTGTTAACAATAGAAATGTTGAGCTAACAGAGATCAACATCCATGTTATTATTCTCCTTGATATTTTAGCTGTTATATATATTTAAAATAATGTTTGCATTTGACAAAGGAGTGCATTGCTTCAACATTTCCCAGTGTTTATGAATCAAAGTAATACATTTCCAACACACATTGGTTTGATATGATCAAATGCCTTCATTGGACAATACTTTCGTTATAACTAATAATAGTAATATATATGTATATATTGATGGAATAACATGCACATAAGTATATATTGGTAATACCAACGATATCATAGCCAACAATATTCTTATTACACACGTATACTTACGATGACAAGTCTGGTAGGGATTTCCGTAATAACCCGTCTTGCAATGACACTTGTTATCTTTCCCACAGAAGGCATAATCTTTACAGGCTCTATTACATGGAACTGTAAGACAAAACAGTTTAAGTTCAATATATGATTTTATTAGAACATAACAAATGTGACGTCATTTTGTCTGTAATATTCAGAATCGTTTTAAAACATGTCCTTTGTCGATCTACAATTCATTAAAACTTATTCATTTCAAAATCTTACTTATTTCGTTGCATAAGCAATGAAGTTAACTAGCACTGGTTGGCTAATAAGACATTCAATTAGTATGCCAAATTAACATGTGCAACATATTGCGTTCAAATGCGTGGTTAAACTGTAAGAAAATATTTTTGTGTTGACAGCTGCCCTGCAGGAAGGGCGTAAGAATTGTACCTGCTGCCCCCAATTGCATGATCGTAAGAGGCGACTAAATGTGGGACCTTATCTCTTCTCTCCTTTCTAAATAACTTTCTTTTTCCTAATGTCTCCCTTGACAATGCCTCACTTTTGGCCATTTGTTGAGTGTTCGCCCCTGTGAGGAAAGCTTTGGGTTCTGTCCCCTGGCCGAGACATACCAAAGTCTTTAAAAATGGCAGTTTCTACTCCTGCTTAACGCTCAGCAAATTAGGAGTGGGACGACTGGTTCGCCCGTTGTCAGTATAATGTGACCGGGTGGGGCGTCCTGCTGGGTGTCTTCGGCAGTATGTTTCAGTGAGGTAGCACTATAAAGTCGGCATCAGTTCCGCGCTATTACAAGAAGACAAACACGAACATATCGCAGCCTCCCAAAATACACACACATACACTACACGCATGCATCTTGCACACAGGGGAGGCCGTCCTTAAATGACCTTAGCTGTTAATAGGACGTTAAACAAAATAAAACAAACAAAATTGTGTTGACAGTGTGAAATAATAAACACTGATTAATTGATGCTAACTGTTTAATGGAGCATATGATTTGTAAAATAATAATATTTAAATATTAGATTCTGTAGGACAAGAGAAATTAATCGTTATTATTTTCTATCCTTATTTTTTTCGTGCTATGGAAGATATCCTTAACGGACATAATATTTACTCACTGTAACATTTCTGTGTTGGGGTTCCGATGTAGCCTCTGTTACAGTAACATTGGTTGTCCTTGCTGCTACAGTATGCATTGGCGCAGCATTTTCCACCACATGGAACTATAGATAATATAATAAGTTGACATCATACCAAGAACTCAGCGTTAATGATAACATTTATCGTATTAATAAGACAGTTTAAAAGATTCGTAATACAAAATGTAGAGAATTAGGTATTTGGTCATGGTAGAGGCATGGTCGATATTCGGGAAACAATGAGTGCCATTGGTATTTCCACTATCATTTTATCTAAAACAAGTACAAATATACTCACGGCCACATACTCCATGCCACAGAATGAAACCTTTGTTACATACACATTTCTGTGTTGGTTTGTCGCAGTAAGCGTTTATTCCACAAGGTCCTCCACATGGTTCTGTGAATAAAACAAACATCAATATTCATTACCGGTTTGATGGTATCAAATTTCTTTTGAAAATATGCAGTGTAATTTATTTAACGAAAGTTTCAACTAAACGATTGTATTTCCTGAAATTCTTCTTACATTTTTATTATTTCTTGGTTTTTTTACATGTTATAAAAGCTTACAATAGCATAATATATCTGCTAGCCAGCAAACGATTTGCTGTCCATTGCTTTTATACTGTACATAAAAAACAATTTGTTTTGTTTATTTTTATACATTTTTTTTTTAACATTTGAATTATAAACCCCACTAGCTTTTTCAAAGTTCCCCGAAACATCCAACGCTAGTAATTTTGAAAGAGCTGATATGCATACGGTATAGTGTATGTCGGTTCATTTTCCGACCTTACTTATGTTATGCATCAACGCATTTATCCTGTATGTTTGAATAAATGTTTTATAAGTAACATTGTCTGTTTACTTTCAAGTAAACGTACAAATTCTCGGAAAAGAAAAGTAAAATATAACACTTACTGTCGTCGTTTAAAATAGTAACAGTTGTTGCTGTCAAACCTCCAAGCACACCTCCAGGCGTCACTTTTGTCAAAACTATCTGGAAATTCTCGTCTTGTTCATATACCTAAAACGATTCATGAACTACCAAATTATGTAAACTTTTATTGATTTCATAAAAACCAAAGGTTGTCCTTATAGTCGAATGAATGCTTATTTAAAGAAATGTATGGCATTTAATGTTTGTGTTGATTGATTCCATCATGCTGATTCTAATAAGTTAATAATATTATGATTTTATCTTATTCATACGTTTGGACATTTCTATCCTGTATTATTTAACAAAACACTGTTTATTACCATTTAAAAAGAATTAAGAATTGATTGAATGTCCGTAAAATATTTTCAATCTGGATAATATAAGGTCTGTTATATTTACCTTATCGACAAAGAGATAAATTGTGATGGTCCGTGACTCAACGCCATGAGCGAAGAATAACACTCCGTAGCTGTTGAAAAAGTCATGAGGGTGGCCGGCGGATAAATCTTTTGTTACCCAACTCACAGATATAGACCCATATGTTGATCCAATCCTTTTTACTGTCACTGTTATGGTACCCGCGTCTTCGTTGACTTGGTAACTGGGTTTCGCGAACACAAATGTACTTGCTTCTATAAAACAAAAACGTGTACGTATCACTACATGATTGCTCTTTATGTGATTTTTAAACGATGATAATTATTTTCATTGAAGTATTTCTTACTGAAAGAATATATTAAATGTCTTACTGTCACATCCAACTGTTGGGTCCCCGTAGAATCCGTGAGCACATTCGCATCGCTGGGACGAGATGTCACATCGAGCATTTCTCTTACACTGAGCCCTACATGGTACTATAAAATCACAAAAAGCACACATTTATACATTTATGAAAACACAATCATCCAAGATTAGCATTATACTCTGAGCTTTTATGAGATTTACATATTTTCGTATGAGAAATTTTACAGACATTTTAAAAGTGCTATAGCAAAATCAAATGTATATAGACTATCTTGCCAATAACAGCGTAGAAAGTGGTTTACTTAATTGTTAAGAGATGGATGTTAAGGTCATGTTTGATGGCAAAAATGGACAACAACTATTGTATGATAGTATACAAATTGATTGTACAATCTAAAGTCAGGATTCCCATTCATTTGAAAAATAGTATCAAACTTAACATTATGTCNTTGTAGTATAATGTAATCTTAATAATAAATTTAATCCCACTTACGTGTACATTCTACGTACGGGTTTCCATAGTAACCTTTCTTACAGCAACACTTATTATCAGGTCCACATTCAGCATTTATTACGCATGCGCCTTGACATGGTTCTGTAAAATTGGTATTAAAGATTGTCAACAAGCACTTGGGGAATACTATCGCTAATGACTTTATGAAATATATCGAAAATGAAATCATTATTTAGGCCTAACAAAAGCTTCATTTATACAATAGAACATGCTACAAATTCTTCCGTGTTTATCTATAGTGACACATTTCTGCCATCGATTTACTACTTCTGAAGATAACTTGAAAATATACAGAATTATTGCATGTTGTTTGCAGATAATGTTTCCGAGACAAAACTGATATAAATAGATGACAAAGGAAAAATAATAAATTATAATCTTTCCAAAAACTACATAATTCGAAAGTCTTTTGTCGATTGCAAAAAGATACCACTATAAACATTAATTAATATATCAGTAACAATCGCTAAATTGTCTGTTGTCAGCGGTGATTAAATCTACAATTCCTTTATTGCTTCGCAGATAACTTACTATAACAGGCCACAGTTCCGAGTCCAAGGTATCCTGGTTTACATTTACATGTATTATCACCCCTGTCGCAGTATGCGTTATTACAGCATCTTCCACCACATGGCGCTGTAATGAATATAGCATTAAATTGTTTAAGTTGCAAAGGATTTTTTTATCATTTTGACAAAATAGTGGTTTGATTTAAAATTTCTACTAACCATTTTTCAAGTTTCTACTGGCGCTATATTACATATATCTAAACCTTCGATTGTCAATATTTTTACATTTCTTTGAAGTGATACGTACGAACACATCCTCCATGATAGGAATCCAACAAGTAGCCCTTGTCACAAACACACTTATGAATGCGTAAATCACAGTGGGCATAATGTCCACATGGTCCACCGCAAGTATCTGCAAAAACCAATGACATACCTGAGTGTTGAGGTGTATATATATTTAGCAAGACAATATCGTAGTGAGAACAAACCCTAAATTGGAATTAATGAAATAGGTAGATATAAACTTAAACGAAGTCATCATTTTTCATAATTTTGCTTATTATGATGATTTGAAAGTACAGTTCTAACAATGTTTTAGTATAGGTACATATGCTACCTGCTACATACCGTCATCATCCTGGATAGTAATGGTTGCTGTCACCACCTGTCCTAGAACACCTCCTGCGCTTACCAATGTCAGAGTAACAGTGAATGACTCATCTGTCTCGTAAACCTGAATAAGAGGAGTCACGTAAACCTGAATAAAGTCATATTACAATTTAATGAAAAATGGCATTTCGTATAGGATGAATGTTTTTGACACCTTAATACCAAAAAAGGAAAGACAAAAAGGAATTGACAACGATATTTGTCTAAAGCATCAACTTTCTCTTTACATAATTTCATTTATTATTAGAATACTTAAACGAAGAACGATTGTAACATGCAAGATATGTACGAACGTATCATTCGAAGCTATGTTACCTTATCGTCGAGGATATGAATCGTGATGGTCTTTTCATTTTCACCGCTTGCGAAGTAGATTATACCACCTGTGTCACCAAAGTCGGTCACGCGTTTCGCGCTTCCCTCTACAGTTTTCCAATAAACAGAGACGCCCTGTGAACTCGATCCCGTCCTTTTGATAGTTACGTGGACGAGTCCGACATTTTCCTTCACAGTGTAGACAGATTTGGTAAACACAAAAGACCCCGCAACTGAAAAATTAAGGTACAAGTGGTTATCAAAAGACATCATCGAGCATCAAAACAATATATAGCTTGCATATATTGTATCGAGGAGTAAAATTATTAACCTTTACATATCATCAATAAAGATGTAAAGGATAGAGCTTTCTGGTCGAAAGTTAAAGAAAGAAAACCATTATATCGCGCTTTATCCAATGCAAATAAGCTGAACAATAAAATACTTCAATAAGAAATTAGTCATGGCGCATTTAATCTTAATTATTCATATCTTAATACTCAGTCACTGTGTACTTTGGTTTGTTTTGGTTTAGTATTGTTAATCGTCCTATCAACAGCTATGGTCATTTAAGGACGGCCTCCCCTGTGTGAAAGATGCATGCGTGTGTGTTTTGGGAGGCTGCGATATGTTCGTGAACTCATTGTGTACCTACCTGAACATCCCTTGAGTGGGTTACCGTAATAACCACGTTTACAGTAACATCTATGGTTCAAGAGATCACATGCGGTGTTGGCTTTGCATAGATTATGGCACGGCACTGTAGAATATACAAAAATATAAGGAAACAAAAGTACGTTGTCATTATCACTTTAAACTTAACAATTCGCTGATGGAATAACAGTATCCCGTTTGTCAGTTATGTATATGACAGTTGTTTTTTTAGATTATAGCAATAGAAGTTAACTTACCGAAAATAGTCCGCTATATTTCCCTCCTTGAATATTGACAAGCAAGCATTTTAAAGAAGACCAACAGGCTAAATCATACACATAAGTATATATATGTTATTATTCATTTTTTACACAGTCCTTTATCTTAATTTAACAGAATTGAACTAAACCTTAATTTATTTTAACAAATATACTTACAATGACATCCTTTGTATGGACTTCCGTAGTATCCTTTACTACAATAACACCTATTATCTTTGGCGCAATAAGCGTAGCTTTTACAGGCAGCATCACAAGGTTCTGTTGAGCAAAGTGTTTTTTTTCTTTTAATACAAAGATAGTTATACATATGCGTTACTTTTTGAAACTAAAAATAAATTGAGATGAATTTCAACATAACAATTATCACAATTTGTCTCATATATATGTATATTATAAAAAGAAAAATTCTTAACAACGAGACTTTAGTACTTTCATTTCTTCTAGGAGATTTTTTCTTTTAATACAAAGATAGTTATACATATGCGTTACTTTTTGAAACTAAAAATAAATTGAGATGAATTTCAACATAACAATTATCACAATTTGTCTCATATATATGTATATTATAAAAAGAAAAATTCTTAACAACGAGACTTTAGTACTTTCATTTCTTCTAGGAGATTCTTTCTTTTAATACAAAGATAGTTATACATATGCGTTACTTTTTGAAACTAAAAATAAATTGAGATGAATTTCAACATAACAATTATCACAATTTGTCTCATATATATGTATATTATAAAAAGAAAAATTCTTAACTACGAGACTTTAGTACTTTCATTTCTTCTAGGAGATTCTTCAGACTTCTAGTCTGAAGAATATATATATATATTTAATGTATATTTGTTCTGTTTTGTCGCATTTCGAATACGTTATAAAATAAAATATCTATTAACTCGCCAATTATTATTACGACGGTTATGATTAATATGGAAAAAGGACAATGTAGTGATAAGGCACAAATGACTCTTTATAAATATCTTGTTTCGTAACACCTTATATTTCTACTTTTGTCGATGATAAAACATGACGATACATACAAGCTTACAAAGGCTTAGAAACACTTACTGCTGCATTTCCATGTTCCTATACCGATATACCCAGTTCTACATTTACACCTGTTGTCAGTAGCATCGCAATAAGCATTGGCACAACATTTTCCCCCGCAAGGCACTGTAACCATAAAAAACAACGTTACATATATCACGGCACTTTAATCAATGAAATAGCACACTATTACAATTATTGCATACAGTGTTGCTATTGCAGTTAGGTCATACTTGTTCCTATGTATAGCGATGTGTGCCCACGTGACATAAGTGTTGTTTGATCAAGGGTTGTACCTTCAGGTCAGGGCAATGCCTATCTAGTTTTACTGCAGCAAGATAACAACATAATATTTTTAAATGACAATTTGTTGTGTCACAATCAAACATATTTTACTCCTAATACATATCATGTCCTTTTATATTGTCTATATCAGGTTTTAAAATCTGGTCACTTCAATTACATCATATTAGTACGGGTAAAATCTATAGCTTTAAATTACTTTTTACTCGTAAGATGCAGATGTGATTGTTTTACTCGGGGTTTTGACATGAGATAAAAATGTAAGATATATCACCATGGCATAAAAGCATTAGTTTTTTCCTATTCTTTGACATATATTGTAACATAATGACGTACGTGAACAACCTCCATAGGGATTTGGTATGTACCCTTTGATGCACACACATCTCTGGCTAGGAACGTCACATCGAGAGAATGGCTTGCATGGTCCGCCACAAGGAGCTGTGAACACGAAAGTGGGAAGTGTAATATAGAAATATGAACATATCTCCAAGTATTCCTTCTTTCAAATTGATTTCTCTGACTTTTATTTATTTAAAATTTTATCTTTTTACACCGATCAACTTAAATGAAAATGTCATCTTTCCACCATGCAATCCTAGCGTATTTTGCAAATAGTGATTAAATGTTTTTAATAATTACTGCAAAACCTTGTAGATAACAGCAGATCATTGAAAAATAATAACTATAGTTAAAAACAAGTACTCTTAGAAAGGAAATAATTATATATAATCACAACAACGATTGTAAGCTAGCTCATACTTAACTATTTAAGTAAGTCGTACAGTAAACCAGAAAAAAGTCGATTCATTTACGGTCATATTTACAAACAATTCTGTTTACGTTTAGGTTTGTGATATAGGACATTTCCGAAACATATACTGCTTTTTTATATTTATATATTAAGCATGAGGAACATCGGCATTGTTTAAAAGTACATTATCGGAAAGTACCTAAATGTTAGAAACAAAATTAAAAAGCGACTTACGGTCATCATTCTTGATCGTAACAATTGTCTGGAAAATATTACCAAGTACTGCACCCGCAGTGACATGAGTCAGGGACACAGAGAAGGTCTCGTCCTTTTCGTAGATCTATATATAAAGTATATATGTTGTTTCTGCTGCTTGATAGCACACGATCAATGTTCACAATGCATAACGAACACATATGTATATTACGCATTTCTACAAAGGTGTAAAACTAGGTTAGTTCTTGGTGTATAATAGCCGTATCATATAAATTTCAATTTATTTGTGCAATTTCATGAACAGGTTTTTTTATCATCAATGAATCTAGCGTCTTTAATATTGATTCTTATTATTATTGATATAATTTATACATAATTATTGGCAAAATGAAAGATGCATATATATGTAAACGTAGGTTTCGCGTATTTCTTATGTGTTCTTTGATTCCAACACATCATTTGTATTATTTGTTAGTACAATCAAATATTTATAACAAATAATTTAACAAACTATAAAATTACCAAGTCGACGGTGATTTCGATGCTGATGGTTTCGGATGTCTGTCCGCTAGCAAAATAGATATATCCATATTTGCCAATATAATCACTGCCTTGAAGAGCTGTGATGCCACGGCTCTCCCATTTAACAGTAACAGCGGCATAAGTGGATCCAGTTCGGGTCACCGTTATGACGACAACACCAACATTTTCTACTACAGAGTAGGTAGGACTTGCAATCACAACCACACCAGGTTCTGTAAAAATAATTCAAGTTTACTTATAAGGATATCAATGTTTTATTGAATACTTGACATGCATGATGTAAAAACAAAAGTCAAATTTGACTAATGTAAAGTTGTTGTTTTTTTTGTTGACCTTAATAAGACGTATTGAATATATATTGCCGAAAGGTATATGTGTGTCAGAATCGTAAAGATGTATCTTAAATCTTTACAAAACTCTTGAGTGGATTTTTTAATTATGTACGCAAGTAAACAGTTGAATCTGAATTTGCATACATTGTAACAAAAATATGGTCAAATGTAGAAATTATATTCACACTTACTGTCACAGATTTTGTATGGGTCGCCGTAGAATCCATCATTACAAGCACATTTTTGGGAGGGGATATCGCATCTGGCATTGATTTTACAATGACCGTGACATGGTGCTGTGAACATGAAAAGGCCGTAACAGGCAATCATTTTATTTGATGAAATGAAAGCAACATAACGCTTCTGATCATATTTCTGTGATATATTTAGCATAACTGAATGTCACCCTAAATAAATTAGCAATAGTTTACACATGCAACAAAATAACTAAAATTTCTAAAACAAAATACAAAATTATATCTTTTTTAATATGATACCTTAACAACAATTCAAAACTGCGAGACAAGAAAACATTACCTGATTCTCAACTACATTCAACAAGTACTTACGATGGCATCCATCATATGGATTTCCGTAAAATCCTTTATTACAGTAACACTTGTTGTACTTTCCACAGTAAGAATTGATTTTGCATGCGTCCTTACAGGGCTCTGTCAATGAAGAGAAAAGATCAAGAACATACGAAAAGTTTATCAAAATCGGATATCAAAGACAAAATCGATTAACAAGGAAGAACTTTGAACAAAGTAATAACTACATGAAGACACTTTAAATGAAAGAAATATCAATTGATTATCCAACTCGATTAGATAAGGAAGAACGATCATTTTATGCTTGCATACAATGTTATGGTAGCATGACAGGGGGCTACCTACTGCACATGTTTAATTTCTGGTAGAATTGTCATAGCGTTGAAGCACCAAGACGCTTGTTACTTACTCAGGTTAACGGATTTTCTTCTAGCTAAATCGATAGAGCACCGATCGGGAAAATATTAGTCCTTGGTTCGAGTCTTAGCGAAGGGACAGGGAAATTTATCTCTTTTGAACATATCATTAAATATTTTAACTTACTGTAACATTTAATTGTTGGTACTCCATAGAATCCTTTGTTACAGTAGCATCTATTGTCTTGTTTATTGCAGTATGCATTAGTACAACAGCGTCCGCCACATGGTTCTGTAATTAAACAGAATTTAAACTTATATATACAGCTGCCCTTACAGCTCTCTTGCAATCGAGTTTTCATTGTTGTTCTAGTTAACAGGTTACACATTAAAACATCATTGGAGCGCATTGATGCATGTGTTTGCCAGCTCTTAAAACAATTTGATTCATCGTCCATCATTTATTGTGTATTACATTCAGTGTAGTCAAAACTTTACAACTGCTTTTCCTTACATAATGTTTTTCAACATTGTTTGAGGATGGAAAAATCGAACCGATTTTTTACCTAGTCTTTATTTTCGAAAACCATAATGAAGTTAGCCCCTCGTCGAAATGGATTATCCTAAGTTTAGAATGCTTAAACGTACATGGTTGAAAAGAAATCTATTGATCATTGATCATTTGGAAGAAACAAAAGAATGCACAAAGGCCTAGCAATCTATCCTTTTTGTGAAAACATAGCAATTATAATTGGTAAAAGGTCCTACTAGGAATTCACTGAGGAAAATGAAAACTTACTGACACATCCTCCGTGATAGCCATGATAGGGATCTAGAATATATCCGTCATCGCAGACACACTTTTGGGACGGAACATCACAGTGGGAATAAGGTCCGCATGATCCACATGGTTCTGTAGAAAACAAATTACTTCACATAAATAAAACAAAATATTTCACACAAAAGATCGCCCTTGTTACGATACAAAAACTGATTTAACGAAAATTTGAAACCACATATTTGCATGCAAATTTGCTTTGTCAAGTATACTACTATATGTATGAAAAATGCCTTACTGTCGTCGTTTGTAATTGTGATCACAGCCTCGATTGGGGTTCCCAGAATGCCTCCAATACTAACTGACAACAGCGTAACTTTAAATTTTTCGGCCTGTTCATATTTCTGTTGAGATAAAAATATGTATTTTTGTCCGTTATGTATCAACTCCTATACAACCATTTAACTGTTTAGACTGAAAACTTTTCTTTACTTGTCTCAAGTTGTTATGAACTTTTCATACAGTAGGCCGAATAAGATTTGAAAAAACATTACACTGCAGACTTGGTGGCATAAAATTTCACATTATCTAAATGTTCCGTTTTTTATAACCATTGATAAATAAACCAAAAGCTTATCAAATGAGCGTTACATTTCCTCTCATTGTTTAAAACGGATAGCTTAATACTTTACCTTATCGGAAATAATGTAAAAGGTGATGTATTTTGTGTTCTCGCCGTTGCCAAAGACCACCACACCTTTATTGCCAGAGTAATCGACACCATAGGAAGCTGTCAAATCTGTGGTTGCGTATGTCACAGTTAATACGCCTACACTACTTCCCTTTCGCAGGACCTCAACTTGTAATTGACCCACGCTTTCAGAAACAGTATAGACAGTTTTTGTGAGTACGACGACGCTCGGTTCTATAAAACAACGTCAAAGATATAAAACATAAGGAAAGAAAAATGGGGTTCATCGCGAGACAAATGTTCGTAAAGTGCTTATTAATTACGTATATGAAATTGCAACATGTATTTGTCATGGAACATATGCCACACATTAAAACTGATCGATGTAGGATGTATATGAGAACAGAAGTCATTAACATTTATTAAAGGAGTCATATGATAACAAAAATCAATCAAATATAGTCTACATGCAGTGATATATACTTCGATAAAGTTGAAGACCTTTTCGTATCAAAAGTTAAACTTACTGTGACATAACACTGCACCATTTCCCACGAGTCCTGTGTTACACACACATTTGTTGGTATCTTTATTGCAGGTGGCATTGTCTACACATTTTCCATAGCAAGGAACTGCAAGGGAAAGTAGTGCATTAACAATTTTTTTTTTTTTTTTTAAATAAACAGAAAATTCAATTAACACCTGTCTGACAAATATTTAGGATACTATTGTAATACAAGCTTACGTGTACTTACGATGGCAATCGGTGTAAGGACTTCCAATGAAACCAGTTTTGCAATTACATTGGAATGTTTTCACATTGCAGTATGTATTTCGTCCACATTTATCCCAACATGGTTCTGAAAATAGAAGTTGCCAACGTATAAAGAAATTCATAATATGAAAACTAGAAGAAAAATAACACTACTTTAACTAATGACAACAAATTATAATATAAAATCAGATTATATCACCATAAGATGAAAAGACAAATATTTCAAACATAACACAAATAAAACATTTTGCATTTTGATATTTTTCTTTTTTAAACAGTAACAATATATGTAACAGCATTTTGTAAAAATAGTGATCAGACATATAATTATGAAAAAGGAACATATTTGTTTATGTCAACTTATACCTAATTGTTTCAATAGTATTTTGATAAAAGGAAAGCATTCTGAAACAGTATCAAATGCAAACACTTGTTACTATCGAAACATATACATATGACTTACTGTCACATGGATGTGTACTAGCACCGTAGTAGTTAGGTTTACAAACACATCGTCCATTTATTAGGATGGCATTATCACAACACTTCGTCTGTGTTCCTGCGGGAGGTAAATAACCTGCTGGCGGTGGAGCATAGCCCTCTGGTTGCGGAGGAGGAGCATAGTCTCCGGCCACTAATGATATGATACAAGGAGTTATTTTTATTATTTTTTAGAAAAAATAAACTGGAACAGTTTTAATATAATATATATTGTTTTCCTGTGATAAAACTAAAGCTGCTACCTTTACCTTATATTATTATAAATATGAAAATATGTTGCATCAATTTAGTCTACCTTTTGTCACAGGAAATCATCAAAAGAAATCATATGAAAATTAAACCATGATTAGCAAATATATAGATAAATGTAGTCCCCTTTTAAAACAATCTATAGAAGCTAACTGCTTCTTGACGTTGTTTATAATTTATTATCATCTTAAAACATATTCAACAATAAGTTCTATAACTCTGTATCATATTCTGATCCAATTTAGCTGTAAAAGCAGCATGACAATGCATTGCATTGCAATGTATGATGTGTGATAATTGCGTTTCAAAGCAAAACAATAAATTCGCATATGAAATTACTGCGCGTTATGATGGACAAAATGCAAACAGTAAACAGATATTTTCTTATTTTTACTATAAAAACACCTATTTTAGCGGACAAGAATGTTCACGTATTATGGAATTTGAACAGATTAGCACTTTGATAAATTGGCGCACGCACACTTTCTTGCATACAAAACTATAAGTATATACTTTAAAAAAGCAAAAGCAAAATTTAGCACAATGTTTAAAGCAAATAACGTTTTTTGTTTCAGGTCCCATTGATTTCTAAAGTAATGTTTCCATCAGTACTGAATTATAGTGTATAAACAAACAGAAAAGTACAAAAATAATGTATATATTTTAGAAATGTCACTGAAATATCATATACTGAAATATTTCAGTAGATTAGGATCATACTTACATGATGGCGCAATCAGTGAGAGAGCGCAGATGAAGATACAAAACCCCATGGATGGTAGTTGGTATGGCATCTCAACCAACAGTGAATGCTACGCAAAAGGTCTTCTACAGTTGCCTTTTTATACAGAAAAAACTTGCTCTGCAGCCAATCAACATGCCCAACAGTAACATGTGGCGAAGGATTTGACACACCTTTTGTAGTCAGCACATGTACATGCCACATTACGTCCAAGGTATACCGTATCAAATAAATGTTATTAAAGACATAATCTTATCATTTATGTACTTCAAAACAACAATTTCATATGAAGTAAGTGCTTTGATGTTTAACAGGTGTGGTAATTTTAGCGTACCTTTTACATGTAAACACAAATACACATACCATTACTGAACCGTCTGTCTTTATATGAACTAACTTTGCAACAATCGAGTAAAAAATATCTCTTCTTAGGTTTGTACTTTTACTGCAAAATAGTTGTTGCTGATTAGTTACTGATGTAATGATATTTTACTTATAGTTTTGTTTTTGCTTCCTGTGTCATGAACCAATACATAAAGTTTTAACTCATTTAATTTAAAATCGTTTTTAGACGTAGATTTGTGTAATATTAATTCGAGGTTCGTCATATCTGCTTGATATTCATATCTGAAATTCATTTGTAGATAAGGGGTAACAGGGTTTGGCACGCATCTCCCTTTTTGATTTTAGAGTAGTTTATATTGGTGTGGATTTAAACCTTTTGACTGCTAGCATCACCGATGAGCGCTAGAAGAACGGCACATATGTATGGCAGTGATCACCACTTTTGGTTTACTGCATCAATTACCATATTGTATAGGAGCAATCATATATGTAGGAAAAGGAAAACGTCTTAAACGACGAGGAATAAACCGTTGATTTATTAATTATTTATGGATGAGGTATGCACTTATTAGTAAAATTAGCTTAAATGACAAATTATATAGTTTATGAAACATTATATTTTTAAGAAAAAATGATTTATTCAAATACCGTGAAACTAATTAACAATATGAAATCATTAACTGTGACATTAATTATAAATGTGAACACAAATATTTGTGATATAATTAGTAGTCTAATCTAAATGACTGTGATAAACGTACAAAGTGGTATAGAAGTGGTAGGTAGATATGATAACTTTCAGACGGCTTTGTGAATGGACGCCGTCACGTACGCAGTGACATGTACGTGTTTGTACAAGCTGTTTCCTTGTGAAACTCTACCGTGAAATCGGCCACAATAAGGATTTAAAACAACACATGTTTAACACCTGAGAATACAATGATTTAGTGCTTAGATAGCACTTATCGCCAACAAAAAGAACCAGGAGTTATACCTTCATATCCTCTACGAAATCCGAAAAGGTGGGGTTGATACTTGGCCTTTACTTCAATTTCTTTTAAATGACAGATATATGCCACAGGGGCATATCATTTTGAAAATATATTATGAAAGTGTATAGTGTTGTTTTTATAATATGTCATATTAATATACATGATGTAAGCATAGTGGTACCTGTAATTAGAAACAAGCAACATTTTCAAAAATTAAAAATAAATCACAGACAAAGATATGCAGATATATGAAAACAATAACCTGAATGATAAAACTAATTTGCGTTTGGTTATTGTTTTATCTTTTCAATTCATTAAACAAAACATGAAGGAATATAACAATATTTCAAATATGTTATTCCAAACCAGTGAAACAGGGAAAGATAGCCTTGCCTGACTCCCATTACAAGTGAGGTATTTTCTGGATATAGGTATGGATAGGTATCATAATTGCAGTGAAACCATTTTCAGGTTATGTGTATATCTATCTTTAACAATCCTGAATGCTGAGAATATCAGTATATCTGACGAAAGACAAATTAAATGTGGTAAATGTAACAAGCGCTACATCAAACAAAGACCATTTGCATAGGAGTTTCATGAACCTAGTACTGTTAGTATTCATGAGAAACTAAATTTTGTTGACGACGCTTACACAAGTTGCATGACAACCAACCAGCTACCAAATATATTTGTTGAGATTATATTATTGTCGGATTCCACATAATATGAGTGTCATCTGTGGGAAAGAGGGCCTGGGTTATGCAACATGTCAGGGCATACCTGAACAAATATAATATTTGATTCATGTAGTGTCCACATGATGATGCACGTGTTTGCAATTAACATATGATTGGCGACTTTTGGAACCCTTCATTGACAATCGACCTGCAGACAAGGGAACCATTAGAGCTCCATCTTGGAGACTGAGTCGGTCATTATTTGAACTTGGTATCTTGCGTGGACTTACAGAAAAACAATATTTGTCACACACATTCCATAGCGTCTGACAGTCGTGCCAATTGCCTATGTAAAGTTACGATGGTAGTCTATATTTTTCACTTCTTTAAAAACTTTCTTTATATATTCTGTCTACAGCATAATTTTACAGTAATATCAAAACCGGTAAAGTTCTGTTTAAGCATGGCAAACATGACCAATGAATTTTTTTAAATTATCATGCAGATTTGATTTTAATTGTTCATTATGGTAAATACCGATTTATTTTCTGCTTTTTATCCTGCCAAAACACTTTATTATATTATGCAAGTTATATGCAGCAGTGATAATTCATAAACATGTATTCTGCAAAAGTTATCTTTCCTCTGGAGAGCTATTTCAGGTTGATATTGTGTTATAGACAAAGATACGCAGATGTAAAACAATGAAATAATCTGAATAATAAATCTAATTTACACTTGATATTTATTTGTTCTGTGCTTTGCTCATTGATTAAACAAAAATTAAATGAATGTTACATCAGTGTATGTCTTCAACTCTTAACAAGTAAAGCAATAAAATATATCTTTGTCAGACTCCCCATACAAACGTGATATTTTAGCATATTTGATTCTTGTGATCATGAACGAAGCTCAAGGTCACTAAAGGTTACCAAACTTATATTCATTCACATTAACCACCTACTTGCCAAAAATCAAGACTCAAAGACTTTTTGTTATGTAGAAAAAGAAAAGTGGAAAGAAAGCTTTTATTTTGTTTTGTTTTTTGTTTTAACTCAAAAGTGGTATATGAGAAAAACTGTGTCAATTAACAGGTCCAATCTCATTAATCATGAAATTTCACATACTTTTCTGCTAAAATACTCAACAATTTGGTATCAAAATAATAGTTGGAATATATGGAGATTGAACGGCGTTTTTAAATGTTCATGCCTGTATGAACGCAAATCAGTAACATCCATATTTCATGAAGCCCGCTAGGGCACATGTTTAATAAGAATGTAACCGATTTTCATTCATACCGGCATGAAAATTGAAAAAAAAGGCCGTTCAATCCATAAACTTACATTTTTACTTTAGAGATTTTGTTTCATTTTATTAATTTGTTCTTATATACTTAATTAATTTACTGCGTTTTGTATATGCGTCGTCTTTTAAACGACATTGGTGGAACAGCCCTATTTAAATAAAATTGGCGCCAATAATAAATCGTAGTCGTAGTCGTAGACGAAGGCGCATTCTCCATGTTATCCGAAGCGACAAGACTATCATTAACAAATGTTGATATATGACGTCATAAGTAAACCACGTGTTATGTCACGAGAGTTTATGCTTTTATACTCGAATTAAAGGCATTTCTGCTGGTTATGTTCATATAGTGGGTTGCAAATGTAAATACTGCACAAAATGATGGTATAATATCATAGTAATTGTGTCATTCAAATGCTCTAGGAAGACTTGTATAACCGCAATTTTCACATTCACACAGATGTAAGTCAATGAGTTTCCTTTTATCATAAAATTAATTCAATACTTACTCTGTTTGATGTAAGATTCCTATACCCATACCTTCTTATATATTTCTTGTTTTGAAATTCCAAGCGGCGGTCGATTCTTATGTTAAATCTCCATAAGCGCTGATCCTACCTTTACCATATATTTTTAATTCGTCATGTTAAAAGATATCATTGGTAGCCAACTTTTCAGCACGTATGATGAAAACACTTGTTTTAGAAGAATGCAAATGTACGTGTCCAAAATTAAAACATTCCTATTAGAAATTGAGATTTACATATTTTTCTGCTTAAATCTTCAATAAAAAAAAAATAAAAAAATCTTTCTTATAATTGTGTAATATTTGGTAACAAAAGAATCGTCCGAATATGTTGCAAACGATGACGATAAACTTGTATTATGATTGTGGCATTTAAATGCTCTTGTATTACTGCATCTTTAAAACCAACAAAGGTTAAGGACCCCCGTCCCAGCCGGAGCAAAACACTAAAGATTTCTACTGTCGTTTTTCAGTGTTAGAGTCACCTGCCCCTGATTACCATTTCGACAATGTTGTTATCTTTCCTTGAATAAATTTCGTTTGAATAACGTTTCGACTACAGAGTATGTGACACAGTAAAGTACATTGTTTGTTACAATGTTATGCAAACACAATGTGCAATTTTGTTTTATATTGGTTATTACATTTGAAGTGATTTTAATGGTTGGTAAAGCCTACTTTTATATATTTAAGAAATAATCAACATATGTGCGTGCATTATGGTGGAATATATAACGAGGGTGAGAAAATGTTGGAAAAAAATATTAACGAAGGCCGCTTCGGCCTGAGCCAGTGATACAACATCATACGATTGACATGAGTTGGCATATTTAGTTGGTTGCCATGACGTGATGGAAAGTCGCTGACCGGCTGATCATGACGCGACCTTCACCTTCACCGACTTCACCGGACAGCTGTGTTTTGCAACCACTGTTCAGACCGATGTTACATTTTGCAACATTATTCTTCACACACGGTATGTACACTGTAGGCGAATGCTCGACATCACTTCGACTTTTTGAAAACAGACGAAGTTTTGCAGACCAGAAACAACAGAACACGTGTGACGTCAGATACGATGTTTATTTCAATCAATCAAACATTGGCACGCTATCGACATTGTTCGTCAAAACATGAAATCAACGCTTGACAGTTCATACACACACTGCACACATCGTGAAATGTACGCAACTACCCAATGAAGTAAAAACA